GACTCATCAAATGGCCATCTAGCGGCAACTTTGGCAGTGACTTTTGGCCAAACTATGGGTCGGAGGTGACTGTGCGACCCCTCTTTGCACTTCCCTAGGGCCCCCTAGGACCCCCTACTACAATTACTTTTCAGATTTCGAATCCCAGACGGTCGATTTTTCCTCCCCTACTACCTTAAATTCGCACCTGCCTCGTTCAGTCGATGGTCGTCTGGAGCTAATTCAATCTCAAAGTTCCACCCTTGCTCATGGATGAAGCGGCACCTGTGAACTCGGATGATGAACTCAGCCGTCTCTGTGTGGCTTGGACTCGGCCGGTTCGCATGAGGGAATGGATCGAAGGCCTCGTCCTCGGGTGACCTTCCTGAAGGACACGCAAGGACGACTGGAACGAGACGCTCGTTACGACCTCTGAATTGCGAAAAATGTGACCCCCCCGGGGAATGCACAACAGACATACATTTTGAAATGAAATAAAAATCGATGTGTGCATTGGGACGATGGAGAATAATAAAAAAAAAGGTTTCCCTCTGGATTTGCTCGGACTGAATTCATTCGGTGAAACCTTAAGTTTCTGCTTCACTTTCCGGTATAAATATGTGCGCCTTGAAAGCATCGCCCAGTAGTCTAATTTCACCACGTTATCATCTAAGGCGCACTCACACTTTATAAGAAAGACTCAGAGGCTTAGGGAGAACTCGATAAACAGCACGCGTTTCACCCTTCTCTATTAAACGAAGTCTCTATAAGATTCCCTCGGTTTGATTTGTAGTCTGAACTGTTCCCAGCAAACCGGGGATGGACTAGAATGATCATACTTCGCCGTAGACAATCAGACAGAACGTTCGCTCGAACAAAATCACACAGAAACGTTTAAATCATATGAAAATCGTGCACATGAAAACAGAGAGCCAAGGTAATTTAAGGTCCTCAGTTTTCTTAAAATGGAAAAATTTTCCCCCATTTTTCATGCCTGTTTTCGTCATTCTGAGCATCAGAGTCCCAAGTTCGAGTGTGCAGTGTGGCAAGCGGGTACCGATCAACCAATGATGCTGCTAACGACACCTAGTGGTGGAAGGAGATACTCACAGCAAACAGTGCAATTTTTGATTTGCTGAGAAGTCAAAAGAAATTGACAAATCAAAAAGTACGTGTGAAACCGTCCTTTTCTAAAAAAAAAAAAAAGTCAATATCCAAAACCACTCGGAACATCCTCGACGAGCCCTTGCCCGATCGAATGATATAAATGCTTAAATTTCAAATATTTCATTCACAACATAGTGAACAAGAATATTCCTTAATACGATTGCACCAAATACTTACGTTTCTATCATCCGGTCTCGAAGAGGCTCAAAACAAGATTAACCGACGGAAACCCATTAAGCCGACAGATGAAGGTTCGCCACGACTATGTTGGACCAAACTTGGCCAAATTGGGGGAAGATGCAGCCTACAGCCCTAGAAGAAGACATCGAGGATCTTCCACAGCTTGTTTGATCTTTCTGAGGAAGGTCACCGCCTCTCTCCCGTCGATCAGCCGATGATCGTAGGTCAATGCGACGTACATCATCGGTCTGATCACCACCTGTGACAGAGAAGAGATGCATATTTTATCGACCTACTTTTCGTTCGTTGCACTTGAATTCCGCCAAACTTGTGTAACAATATTTTTTGGGGCATTGAAGGATTTGATTATAAAATCATATATGTGGGGCATGTAAAGCACCATTCCTTTGAGATCTATCAATGATGAAACATCCATCAGCGAAACAGCGTGGCTGTAGCTGCAACTGCTCCTGTTACTTACAACACTATACTTAATCATTTTTGTGGCCACTCTCTCCTGCTTTAACCCTTGGGTCCAAACTATTACAAACCTTGTTATTTCTTTCCACATTAAGGTCAAAGAAGAATGTTACCATAATGGTGAATATGGAATGGCTGGTCATTTGATTCCCTATCCTATTACGTGTAGATACCTCACGGATACCTACAAGTACATCAATCCCTCCAACAAACAGGCACAAAAGAGGAGAAATTAGCTTGCAAAATTGCCACTGAAACTTGACTTCATTATGTGACATGCTAAGGTTCTATTCATACTTGTCACAAGAATGGAAACAAATATACAATTATTCATTCTCAATGGTGAAATACACCAACTTAGATAATGTGATGAGTGACCATTCTCCACACGAAGAAAAAAGGTGCACATATGATTCAACCCTTCATGAAGGTTGTTTCTCTCTCCAACTCATCATTCTAGCATTAATACCAAGGAAAGAGTATGGAGACTCCAAGGATGCCACCATCATTTGAAGCATATTTTAATTCAATATTAAATTTGCTCATAGTACCAACATATTTAGCCCTTAATATGCTCACTTGGTAGAATTCAAAAGAAAAGATATTTAATCACCCAAAATAATAATGAACTTGTCACCAAATATTTTCAGCCCACAGAAATATAGACTCTGTCATCAAATCACAATGAATCTTCACCAAATTAGTCAGTCACCACATTTTTATTTTAGACTTCACCAAATATGATTGCACCATCAGGAGAGCTGGTATCACCAAATTTGCATTAGCCTGCACCAAAAATGTGCTCTCATCATCAAACTTATGAATTTTTCAGCATTTGCAACCCTATCAAGGAAAGGATTTCCAGTTAAATTCGTGACGGCAAGATGAGATTGTCAAATCAATCATGCTTTGGGGGCTTTCGGGGTAGGACTTGTGTAACTAGTCTCCTTGCGCTTGTGAACAAGTATGGGACTGATTTCCAGTTTCTGTGTGCTCTATGTATTAGAGTTCCCATGGCAACCAGAGAGTTTGAGGGCATTGAAACAAGGAGATGCCTTCATTGCCTGCAATGATGGCACTGCCACAAGCAAGAGGTTTGTAAAAGTGCAAAAGAATATCTGATCAGAAAACTGGAGCATTGGGAGAACTTGAAAAGAACAAGACTCTGAGCTGTGAGGGCTCCACATTTGAATGACCCAGTTTGGATCAAGACTGGCATTTCCAAACATTCACTCAGAATACTGATTCACAGCTAGAATAGTCAGGTGTCCTCTGTCCAGTGGGCCTGCTAAAAAGAAATTATTTCTTTTGATACATGAAATGTGACAATGATTTGGTGCTAACTCAATAAAATTTGATGGTCATTTCATGGCATCTGGTGAAAATAATGAGGGTGAACTTGGTGTTAGATTCATTAAGTCTGGTGGTGAAATTGTTAGTGAAGGTAATATTAATTTTATGATGTAAAGTCATTGAGTGACCAAATAATAAATCTGGTGATGAATTACTTCTTCTTCATGACAGAGTCAATATTATTTGGTGATGAATTAAATACTAATCATTCAGAAGTGGCCTTGGACATGAGAGCATAAGCTGTGACCCTAAAAGACAGGACTGCTAGAATGACTTTTCTGCAAAAGTAAGTAACTCTTTTCAAACCTAGTTCTTCCTTCATTTGTCCATGGTTCACAAATCAGCAGCAAGATTTGAACTTGTGCACCAGATGGACAACAGGATTGAGTGTCAATCACATGCATTGCTTCATTTCATTTCAGTCAAGAAAAAACTTATCTTATGGGTATACCAGCTATGCTTCATATTGACTTTGTCTTGAGTTTTTCATAACACAAGAAAAATTGAAAACAAAAGAGGACATGCCTGGTTGTTGCGGGCCACAGGTCTGTCAAAGATGGCGTGCATGCCTAGAATGGCCGACTGGGGCGGGTTGATGATGGGCGTCCCCATGAGGGAGCCGAACACGCCTCCATTGCTGATGGTGAACGTCCCTCCGTCCATGTCCTCAATGGCCAATTCTCCCTTCCGTGCCTTCTCGGCCAGGGCTGCCACACCCAGCTCGATGTCAGCGAAATTCATCACCTCCACGTTTCGTAGCACTGGCACCACCAGCCCCTAGATAGGCAAGAAAAAGGTTAACATATAGCAAGAATGAGTCTCCAAGCATATTTGCACCATGTAGAACACACCTTTGGGCTGGCGACAGCCACTGAAATATCAATGTAGTCCCTGTAAACGATCTCATTATTGTCGATGACGGCATTCACGACTGGTTGATTCTCCAGGGCATAGGCTGAAGCCTTGATGAATGCAGCCATGAAACCCATTTTCATTCCATACTTCTTTACAAATGCTTCTTGATGAGTCTTCCTCAACTCCATGACATTGCTAGAATAAAGATGATGGAAAGTTTCAGAACAATTTCTTTCCCACCTGCAGGTTGGCTCTAATATCCAAGAGCTGGTCAAGTTAATTTGAAAGTAGTCTATTTAAAGAGATTAAATCAAACCACAATTCCCATCAAAATTGGAACAGGCTGCTATGCAACACATAGTATGAATACAATTCATAATTTTGCGAAAAAACCTTATTTGATACATGATAAAACATTCAAGACTCAACCATTAAACCCTGTGAACTTGTCCACTGGTTGGAACAACATGTAAGCTGGAGTTCCATTTTCCTCTGTGTCAATGACCATGGTTCAGGAGATAGTCAATATTAGAATGAAACTTGGGACCAAAATAATTGCAGTCTGCTTCTAATCCACATGCTTACTTCCAGTGTATTCTATTACATATAGAGTACTTTAGGCATGAAATAAGTGCTAAGTGCATCATAAATAGTTGAGAACCAGATTTTTAAAATTTGCTTGAATGACAGGAGAATGGATGAGAGAATGGAGACTGATCAATTAGCAAGAATATTTAACTAGATTTAGTCCTAGCAACTAAAGATGATGTGGCAATAGATGTCCATGTGGATTTGGGCAACTCAGATCATATGACAGCTATCTAGGACATTTGATTGAACTAAACACAAGAATAATCCAGCAAGGGGCAAGTAGGACCATGGTGAAGCAGATTTTGCAAGATGAGAAGATTGATTTCAATTACAGATTGGAATGGGAATCTAGTTGGACTTGTACTACATCAGCACTGGTGGACATGCAAGACTGCTTTTAAAGATTATGCAGAAGGTTGTATAATTTGTGAGAAAAATGAGAATGTTTAATTGAAAAAGGTTGATTCATTCTGTATGCCTAGCCATTCCCATGTCTCATGATTCTGCACAATGACTCACAAAGGGGCAACAGCACAAATGTGGCATGATGCTATTCCCTTGAAATAATCTTAAGATTGCATCTGAACAATCTCAAGGTGTCCAACTATTTTGAGAATCTGAGTCTGCTTCATGATGCTGACCCCAACCTTTAAGACAAGTCTTGACTCTGTAATCATACTTTTTGTTTAAGTCCAGTCCAGTTCAGTCAAAGAACTAATCAATCTTAGCATTTCCACTGCCAGGCCCTATTCAGGTTCCCAGCCCTCAGCAAGCCAGGCAACTCAAACAAACATGGGTCAGGATTCTTTTATGCATCAAGAATCCAGATTCTCTTTACACAGTCTGCGCTGACTGATCAAACATTACTGTTACATCCTCACTTTTAGCACAGGCATGATGTTCAGTGTGGGCATACCATGTTGTCACAGTTATCACCAACCCTGATCTATATCAGGGATAGATCAACAAATGCGATAACCTTGAGGTCAGGTGCACTCTCCTAGGGGAACAGACTGTCATTCACATCCATTCCAGAAAAATATGTGTCAGCATAAGACAGATGGATACACAGTAAGGAGACTTGTGGCAAGCACCTGTCCTGCCTACTTGGAAAATAGAGTCATGGAATATTCTTCCTTGCATACCCCTATGCACATGTGTTGAGTGAAGGAGGAGAAAGAGATAGAAGGGAGGGAAGGAAAGTTGGTTATCACATACTTACATCCACTCACTCATGCATACAGTGACCCAATGAGCATGGGCAAGGGAATGCCAGGTGTATCTCATCAATAGCATATGAGAACTACTTCTGAATATAAATGATTCTAGCTTGTCATTGGTGGTGAATGTGAGTAGACTACCCTGAGCCCCATTTCACCACACAGACATCAATTCAGACTTGTCCAAAGTTTGCTTCATAGTGCTGGTGCCAAAGAAACAATCCTCTTCACCAACCCTGGCTGATACCTTGTCACTATGGACCTTCTGATTACACTCAGCCATGCAGAATAGAAGGCGGCATGAATCAAAGAAACAAAGGATCTCATGATACCCATCAACAAAAACAAAAGAAAATATCAAGTTCTTAAGAAAGACCAGACAATCTAGATTGGCCTTGGCCTTCAGCCCTTACCTCATATCAATTTCATTAAAGGTGGTGAGCATGGCATGGACATTCTGAGCATCCTTCAATCACTGCGATATCCTGAGACGCATGCGGTTCATCTTGATACGCTGCTCTGTCCTCGTTCCTTCAATGACAAATGAGTTCTTCATCCATGTCTGAATGCATGCATTTTCATGGTGATTAAACAGTTTAGAGAAAGAAAATTCTTGCCAGTGATTTTCTTGGTGGGATCCTGAGGAGGAAGCTTCACTGGGGTAGACAAGGCCGGCTGGGCCTGGAACTGTGCAGCGGTAATAGTTTCCTTGGGGCCCTTGGGCAAGGGTGGGGGTCTGGGTGGGGTTGATGGTGGGGGAGGCCTGCCTCCTCCTGCAGGAGGGGGTGGTGGTGGTGGAGGAGGTTTCAAGAAATCAGGGGATCTCAGGTGTGGCTCCTCCTTTCCAGGAGGAGGAGGNGCCACCGAAATATCGATGTAGTCCCTGCAAACGATCTTGTTACCGTCGATGATGGCATTCATGACTGGCTGATTCTTCAGGGCATAGGCTGAAGCCTTGATGAATGCAGCCATGAAACCCATTTTCATTCCATACTTCTTTACAAATGTTTCTTGATGAGTCTTCCTCAACTCCATGACATTGCTAGAATAAAGATGATGGAAAGTTTCAGAACAATTTGTTTCCAACCTGTAGGATGGCTCTAATATCCAAGAGCTGGTCAAGTTAATTTGAAAGTAATCTATTTAAAGAGATTAAATCAAACCACAACTTCCATCAAAATTTTAATAGGCTACTATGCTCAACACATGGTATGAATATGATTCATAAATTTGCAACAAAACTTTGATACATGATAAAAAATTCAAGACTCAACCATTAAACCATTAAACCCAGTGAACCTGTCCACTGGTTGGAACAACATGTAAGCTGATGTTCCATTTTTCTCTTTGTCAATGACCATGGTCCATGGTTCAGGAGGTAGTCAATATTAGAATGAAAATTAGGACCAAAATAATTGTAGCCTGCTTCTAATCCATGTGCTTATTTCCAGTGTATTCCATTACATAAAGAGTAACTTTAATTAGACACAAAATAAGAGAAAAGTGCATCAGATTAAAGATAAACAGATTAGAACCAGATTTAAAAAATTCATTTGAATGATTTATAGGGATTGATCAACTAGCAAAAATATTTAACTAGATTTAGTCCTAGCAACTAAAGACAATGTGGCAATAAATGTCCACGTGGACTTGGGCAACTCAGATCATATGACAGCTACCTAGGACATTTGATTGAACCAGACACAAGAATAATCCAGCAAGGGGCAAGTAGGACCATGGTGAAGCAGATTTTGCAAGACAAGAAGATTGATTTCAATTACAGATTGGAATGGAAATCTATTTGGGCTTGCATTACATCAGCATTGGTGGACATGCAAGACTACTTTTAATAATTATGTGTAAGGTTGCATAATATGTGAGCCAAATGAGAATGTTTACTTGAAAATGTTGATTCATTCTGTAGGTCAAGCCATTCCCATGTCCCATGATTCTGCACAATGACTCACAGAGGGATAACAGCATAAATGTGGGAAGATGTAATTCCCTTGAAATAACCTTAAGATTGCATCTGAACAATCTCAAGGTTTCCAACTACTTTGAGAATTTGAGTCTGCTTCATGATGCTGATCCCAACCCTTAAGACAAGTCTTGACTCTTCAATCATATTTTTATTTAAGTGCACTAAGTGTTTAAGTGCTGTTCAGTCAATGAACTAATCAATCTTAACATTTCCACTGCCAGGCCCTATCCAGGTTCCCAGCCCTCAGCAAGCCAGGCAACTCAAACAAGCATGAGTCAGAATTCTTTTATGCATCAAGAATCCAGAATCTCTTTACTTTGTCTGTGCTGACTGATCAAACATTACTGCTACACCCTCACTTTTAGCACAGGCAGGATGTTCAGTGTGAGCATTCCATGTTGTCACAGTGATCACCAACCCTGATCTATATCAGAGATAGGTCAACAAATGCAATAACCTTGAGTCCATATAGTCAGGTGCACTCTCCTATGGGAACAGACTGTCATTCCAGGAAAATATGCATCAGCATAAGACAGATGGATACACAGTAAGGAGACTTGTGGCAAGCACCTGTCCTGCCTACTTGGAAAATAGAGTCATGGAATATTCTTCCTTGCATACCCCTATGCACATGTGTTGAGTGAAGGAGGAGAAAGAGATAGAAGGGAGGGAAGGAAAGTTGGTTATCACATACTTACATCCACTCACTCATGCATACAGTGACCCAATGAGCATGGGCAAGGGAATGCCAGGTGTATCTCATTAATAGCATATGAGAACTACTTCTGAATATAAATGAGTCTAGCTTGTCATTGGTGGTGAATGTGAGTAGACTACCCTTAGCCCCATTTCACCACACAGACATCAATTCAGACTTGTCCAAAGTTTGCTTCATAGTGCTGGTGCCAAAGAAACAATCCTCTTCACCAACCCTGGCTGATACCTTGTCACTATGGACCTTCTGATTACACTCAGCCATGCAGAATAGAAGGCGGCATGAATCAAAGAAACAAAGGATCTCATGATACCCATCAACAAAAACAAAAGAAAATATCAAGTTCTTAAGAAAGACCAGACAATCTAGATTGGCCTTGGCCTTCAGCCCTTACCTCATATCAATTTCATTAAAGGTGGTGAGCATGGCATGGACATTCTGAGCATCCTTCAATCGCTGCGATATCCTGAGACGCATGCGGTTCATCTTGATACGCTGCTCTGTCCTCGTTCCTTCAATGACAAATGAGTTCTTCATCCATGTCTGAATGCATGCATTTTCATGGTGATTAAACAGTTTAGAGAAAGAAAATTCTTGCCAGTGATTTTCTTGGTGGGATCCTGAGGAGGAAGCTTCACTGGGGTAGACAAGGCCGGCTGGGCCTGGAACTGTGCAGCGGTAATAGTTTCCTTGGGGCCCTTGGGCAAGGGTGGGGGTCTGGGTGGGGTTGATGGTGGGGGAGGCCTGCCTCCTCCTGCAGGAGGGGGTGGTGGTGGTGGAGGAGGTTTCAAGAAATCAGGGGATCTCAGGTGTGGCTCCTCCTTTCCAGGAGGAGGAGGAGGAGGAGGTGGGGGTGCAACTTCTTTTTTCGGCTCAACTGGCTTCTCCTTTATCTCAGGGGATACTGCTTCTGCTTTCTTTGGTGCCTCTCCTAATATAACAGAGCATAGTCAAATGTGGATAACCAATTACCAAGTCACCATCAAGAACCAACAATATAAAATTTTATTGGGTGTGATACAAGATACATTAAACATTTAAAAAGGTCCCATAATTGGCCTTCAGTTTTTCAAGAAATTAAGGGATGTCAAGAAAGGTAGCCTAATGCTGAAAAGTGCATCTTAGTCCAACCAAATTTTATTTTGGATAAATTTCTCATACATGAGGTTTTTGAATTTTTGAAGAGTGACAAATTTTCATAAATTCTTTTTTCAACTATTTTTCTTTGACTTTTGCAAGTTGGATAATGGACAGTAGAAAGAGATGCTGAGAAACAATGACAGAAAATAAGGATTCATTGCTGGAAGAGCTCATGTAATTTAATAAATTTGTTTAAATTTCAATTAAAAAATGAAAAATCAAATCAATTATGGAAAATTTAGACATTTAATTAATTTCTAACATTCTTTCTAAAAAGCATGTACGAGATATGAAAAACTGGAGATCAGTAAATCCATATTGTGCAGAGTACCACTACAGACAAAACGGTTAAGTCTCCCAACACTGATGACATTGAATTATAACAGCTTCACCTCTGGATGCGAATCATTAGATCATTTAGTTTCTGGCCACAGACACAGCACAGGAGATGTCAGGCATACAAAAAAATTGAACAGGGGTCTCTATTTCTCACTGCATTCTATTTCAGTTGCAAGATGAAATGAGGTATAACATATGCTTCCATACCAGTGATACGAAGTTTGAAGAGCTTTGCTCCAGCCTGGACACTGGCTCCATCTTCCACAAATAATTCCTCAATCACTCCTGCAGCTGGGGCATGCACTTGGATTGCCGTCTACAGGATTTAAAACAAAAATTCAAGTTGAAATATTAATTCAGCAATAGTTCTCATGGAGAACTCCTTCCAAAATATGATTGATAACTTTCCCTAGAATGAGTAAATACCATTTCTTTTGTAATTTTAAGTCTTGTAGCAAAATATCACTTGATAAAAACTTTCAGCCATCATGAAGATGTCATAGTAAACACATAAAGACATCATAGTAGACAGGAGCATGGAAACTACCCATGGCTTATCATCAAGGAAGGTTAAGAAGTAGGTTCTTTGAAAATATGGAGAGACACTCTCACTTTGAATCTAAATGCAAGTGATACCTTCTCTGATATTTTGATATTTTTCATTTTCCCAGAACCATTCCTACAACCACTGAAGCAGCATTGTGGCATGGGAAAAAGAGAATGAAGAAAAATCAGAGAAGTGATGCAAGACCTCTCTCATAGGAGAGTTTGATGACAAATCCCTTTTTTTCATCACTCACATTCAAAAGAGTACTTAAAAAAATAAGTATTAACCATCTATGAAGCTATCACCATCTGATTACAAAGCAATATATCACTAAAACATCTAAAACTACTATAAGAATGGTATCTCCTTACAATAAAAAAGTAGTTCAATGCTGATTATGAGACTTTTTTAGACTGTTTTTCCTAACCCCTTCATCACAGAATATACATTTTTTGGGACACTCAAGGAGCATGGTCTGAGCTGAAGGGGTTAAATGCAATACTAGAAAAGAGAGGCAAGTTTCTTGGGAAGGTGCTAGAAACAGTACAAAATAGGAGAACAATAACAGGAAGAAAAAATCCAGCAGGAGCAAAATTGTATATTTTTCCTGAAAGTTGATTAGGTTAGCAAAAGGTATATGAAAATTTGTATTTACTAAAATGTTATTAACTATTATGAAACACAACTTCTAATCCAATGCCAAAACTGGCAGTAGAGGACAGCAGAGTAAACACAGGTTTTCCAATTAAATTTAGCATTGGTGAAGCTTTTGAGAGAAGTTTACACACCCCATCAATGGCAAACATGTTCAAGCATGCCAAATTACCAGATGAACGTTCAGAATAGTGATG